TCCTCTTCTCTCAGCAGCCAGGTAGTAGGACTGTTCAAAATACTGTGGCAAACACCCTGAGCTTGGTTTTGAGGCTGATCTCCTTCCGGCGCCATAGGGTGGTTTGGAGCTGCAAAACCGCCGTTTGGGCCGTGTCGATGAGCCACTTTACATCATTGGTTTGCCCATTGGGTAGGATGATGGACCCGTCCGAGGAATGTGCGTGAAGGTGAAATCTGAAGGATGGTCAGTTCAAGTCAGTCAATCATTTGTAATTTTATTCCGGCATACAGCTCAACCCCCCTCCCCTCCTCGGGGTAATTTGTTGATTTCTCACTGGCATTTTCATTCCGGTGATGATGCAAATGAATAGCTGCCTCGTCCTTGTTGGGTAATAATTTCTCCGGTGAACAAGTATCGGTCATCTGATGCATTATATGCCACTGCTTTCTTATTCTCTGTTTAATATTGCAGCATACTTTTTTACGGGAAGCAACAAGCTTTTATTTTGTGCTCAATCAGTTCGAGATTGAGACGCAAACTGACTCTGAGTCAGTATTTTTGCTGGTTTATCTGTGAACTGAGAAGTACACACTGAGTTCGTCTCGTTTGGGATCTGAAAAAGAGCATCTTATTTCCTTTTACTTATTTCCAGGGTGGTTTGTAAATTAATTCTATGCTGGAACAATGAAACTATCAACACGCTCCGGTTTTTATCCTTGTTGAGAACTTCAAACTAATGCTGAACAACAAGATTTTGAGTCATTTATGAATCCAATGCGCAGTAACTGAAAGGCTTTGTAGTAGCGAATTTGTAGCATTTGGAATATGGCACGTCAAGTGATTTGTGAAATCGCGCGGATGAGCTAAAGGAAATGTTTTAAGATTGTTTAAAACCGTTGTCTCAATACTAGCAAAGCTGCAGTGATAGAATCAGATGTACGTAACTGCATGGGGAAATTTTCGGTTCATGCATTCATTGAGTTTCTGCAGTTTGTAATTTCGTTTATGATTTATTGGTCGTTATTTGTAATTTATCATTTTCAGCTCTGTAACAGGTTGGTTTCAAGGTCAGGCACTCATTACGGTACATTTATCGACCTCCCCCCAGATTTTTAGACTATTTATTCACTTCGGATTGACGTTAGATTGTACGAAAAGTTGCTTGTATTTTACGAAAGGAGAAAAGATCCGGTGCTGTCTCATGTCGAAGTTGGGCTGACTGGTCGAGGCATAAACCGTCATCAAGTGTTCCGTTTGGGTAGTTCATCAGTACACAAGGGAACTTTATTCTACAGAGGGCAACAAATATATTTGCAACCAAAACAGTTACAGGAACCAACTGATGTTGGTGATAGAAAGATTATGTTGGTTAGTGCCGTTTAAGCTTTTTCGATAGAACGCTGGATAGCGATGAGAAAAACTGCTTTTTCTTCAGATTGCCAAACAAGGGAGTGGTTTTTGATCATTTTGCCCACATTATTAACCTGCAAATTTCCAGTTGGTGGCATGTGCATAAAGGTATAAGAAAAACGAGTGGCCGAAGGAATTTGTTCAATAAGAACACTTGCGTACTCTGGACATGATGGACGAGTTCTACGTTGCGTTTCCTGTAGATGCATATACTGTGGTTCAACCCAGTGAGAAATGAACTGAAGCGCTTTGCTACACATTTGTTCTTATTCTTGTGGTTCGTTTCCGTGTATGATTTAACCGATTGGTCTGCAATCTGAAGAAGTATACTAGCAAACACACTGAATAAAATTTAGAGCAACTGCTGATAAGTGTCACTGTTCATTTCGGAATTCACGTAAAAAGCAATTTGAAAATAACTACTTATGAGTAATAAAGCGCAGTGTTCTCAAGATTTTTTTCAAAATGAAATATCTTCGTATCGGTTTACTCAGCTTGTAATCCGCATTCATAACTGAAGTATGCAAACAAAATTATTGGTCAGAAATCTCCAAATCTGTACATGTTAACTAAAATTAGTTGCCCTTGAAATCAATAGTCAAAGATAATCGAAAACGACATATTGGCTACCGGTCAATAGGGAGCAGTGGAAGAATTGCGCAAATCAAGTAGAATTCGATGGAATACGTGAACCGTGAAATAAGAGCATTTCCATCAAGTGATATAAAGTATCTAATGAGTTCCAGAGTGCGAAAATGAGAAGGATTCTCCGATTCTGACGAAAGTCTACTTTGTGTTTCCGATCATCTTTTTGCATCAGCTTTGCCGCATGTACATGCCCAGCTTATTTGCGGTGTGTTTCAGTTTGGGTATGAATAATTTAAAGCAGAATTTTACCCTAGTTGGCCAGACCAAGCCTTCACACAAAGACAGTTTTTCTTTGTTATCAGTTTTTCCTGATACTGAGTTCCCTGACAGAGATATGGTTTTCCGTAAAATCAGAACGTGTCATCACTTGCGATCTAAGTGCACCTCATCTGCGTGAAAATACAATCATCAGGACGGACGATTGATGCAGATCGGATGTGTGGTTTATTTGTGCGAAATACCGTTGTTTTTAGGCATTTGAGAACAGTCGTTCGTTTAAACACGCATTGCGTGTTTGTGTATGTGCTTGTGAGGTCAATAGCGCCGGCGTGAACAGTGCAATGAGTATACCAAGTGAACCTGGCGATGCAGTTACCGAAGACAATCAATACTGAAACGTTCATCATGCAAAACCAAGAAATCAGACACGAAAGGATATCTAGGACAATTGGGGGCTCACAGAAACAAACAGTAATTGCAGATTACTTTAAAATGCACCGCCACTGCTTCTCAGGGGACTTCTGTCAGACGTATTATTAACACCTCGATACTGTTCGCGCAAGCTTAACCATCTGTAAAATTTAAAAATTATCACATCAAGAAAGCTTACGTGTTTTCTCTTTGTGCATTATTTTACACAACCCGAGAACAGTATATGTTTGCGGATGGTATTTGCTCTACCAGGATTTCAGTGATAAAATCATTGGGATAAAGCGTTCACTTGTTGAGGTAGGGGGACAAACGCTGAGTAAGACACATCAGGAAAGGATTACTAAACGAGAAATTTGCCTTTGCTAATTTGTGGAAGTTTATTGAACAGATAAATTTTGCCAATTCATAAACGAAACAATCTTATCAATCCTATCGTATATCACTCGCGTTTCAAAGTGCCTCATCTCCTGATATACAGTGATTCTTTTCAGAACTGAAGGAATAAGTGTGACAAATCTTGGCCTACAAATATGCTCAGTCATGTAGAAAACATTGCCAGTTGGTTGTCAGATTCATAAAACAAAACCCACAAAAAGACGTGAGAAGAAACACCTCCCAGATGAGGTTGAATACATACACAGCATTTTCTATCGCCTAATCTATGCAATGTGATTCGCGTAGGATTGTTTTTTTATTGTTTTTAGTCCATTTGAGGAAATCCACACGTTCAGTAGCCGGAGGCGACAAATGAGCAATACAGCTGCGTTCAAACAAAACCCTGGGGAATTCACATTTCGTGATAAGGGAGTAAAATAATTCGTGCCGCTATGTTTTTTCTTGCATTGGGGTGGCATTGTTTCACAGGCCTTATTACGGATGCTACGGAACTTCTCCTAGCCGTTTCAATATCCCCAATAGCTCTACCACATGTTCTACTCCCCTCGACCTCGAGGCGGCAGTTTTGCTCTTACAGACGCAGATGTGTCCGCTGAGTTCACATAATTAAATTAACTTTGGAGACAAAAGACCAGGGGGCATGACCCCGAATTCCTCCGAGCTTGTTAGTAAACTTGTCTTTCAAGGGTTATGTCGGCCATCTTCAGATTCGTATAAATACGTATCACACAAACGCACTGTATCAATGTGATTCGCTGAAGAAGCACATGTTGTGGAATTTGTTAGATCAGGAAAATTACCCAATCCAGACCGAATGGTCATCTATGTGTACTGTTCCGAAATTGCACTATGGTGGAGTGTACACCCCGTACAATCCATTCGAGTCGGACAGTAATACGGGTCAAGATCCCGTGCAACGCGAGGCCCGATCGGACACCCCGAACGATCAAACAACCTATACGTGCAACACAAACTGGTCTGCACTTCCTGGTTCCAACGAGGACCGCTACACGTGTCGTGAACGAAGACGAAGGAAACGGGCCTCGGCTCAGTATCGTCGAGCACATGCGGCCCGGGAACGGCTCCGAGTGGAAGCATTCAACAAAGCGTTTGGTCAGTTGCGCACTCTTCTACCCACGGGACAAGGAACCGGTAACGATACACAGTCCGATCGAAGATTGTCTAAATTACAAATTTTGCGTCTATGCTCGGCGTACATATTCAATCTGACCCAGTTGCTGTACGGGACTGCGGAACAAACCAAATAAACGTACGATTTGCCCGATTTTCTGGTATAGAGTGTTGAAGGCCACTACAACGGATGGGCATCTTTCTGTCGCTCAGGATGGTAGTATGCGAGGATATGAAGTAATAATTTCTCTTTCATTGTGAACTCCATATTTACTTACCTTCTACGCATAGGTTCGAAATCTGTGATTATGTTCAACGAGTTTTGGATTTTAGTACCTCTAACTGTGACTAGAACTAGTTCTCTTTATAGAAGGACGTTTGCTATCACAGAGAACTGTTTTTCTGCACGCTCACAAGTGTAATCAGCGCAAAAATCGCAGAACTCACAAATGCGACCGTTCAATATGCCTGTCTATGACCAATCCCTTTTGTGAAACACATTTTGAGCACTGCCTCCACCACCAGGAGGATATCATCGAGAATGGGGTACGTACAGAACGATACTGTATATCCAGGTCATGTGATGTGATTCTTTCCACCAATCATTGTTCTTTCTTATTCATGCAGACTGCAAGACAAGGCGTGTATTCCTGAGTGAGGGACGTGAATTATCCAGAAAAGAACAGTATAAGGAGGTAGGTTGTACCTTTCCCGGGTGAAACAAAACCTTGCCAATAAAGACTGTATACAAAATTTATAGGTTGTTCAATCCACGTTTGTTTTTGCTCTAAAATGTGATCATGAAACAAGCTGTCCACCCTCGGACGGTACAAACTTGACGAATAAACAGACTGAGATTAAAAATAGTTGTTTTTCTTGATATTGTGTTCTCAAGATAAGCTTATTTCAGGCTAATCATAGTTCCATGATACGAACCAACTCAGCATTTGCATCGGACTAAATTAACACTGACACCGGAACGCAAACCTGTTACTGTGTCATGTCACTACACTCATTCCGTTTATGTATGATAAAGTCTGTTCGATCAGGAGGCTCTCATCCTTCCATACAGTTAGGCGAGCTTTCGATGAAATTTGGTTATCCAGGGAATCCGTATTGGCCGTCGTTCACTCCGACTTAAGTTATTCACTGCTCGTCCTGGTTTAAGTTGTGTATGGGGCAGAAGTTTCATTCACATCTTAAAAATGCTAACGTCACAGAGCGATTGCTTTACAGATATTAAACTGTCCTTCGTTGTTGCCTTCCGTTCCTAACAGAAAGTCGAAAGCTGTAATCTGGGAGTTGTGAGTGTCGTGTTCGGCCTAGACTTACGAATGACATGAGCGACTCTTGCTTAACCTACAACAATAACGCGGAAAGAGAACACAGCTGGAGACGACAGTCAGTGTGCATTTTTTGATTAGATTTCGATGTGCAAATATACAGAACAGATCACGCATACGAGAACCGCGTAGTGACGCACCAATCAGATTGCGTCCTTGACATATCGATTGCTTGATCCGACAAACTTAGGCTGATTCGTTTTGTGATCATCCAATCGGACTCAGCTTGTCTGGATCGTTTCGAGCGTGCGTGTGGCCTGACTCCACAGTGTGCGCGATCGGACGGGTTGCTTAAGCTCCGTCATAGCAGTAAGTACAGTTCTTATCCCTTTATAAGGAATTGTGTGAACGTATTTTTCTGGTGGCATTGGGTTCTCGGTGATGGGACGACAATAAGAACATCGATTGCTCACTTACGGTATTTGCGTCTGAGAGACAACCCAATACATATTTGAGTAAAATAAACAGATTATTCCACTACCCTTCAAGGTTCAATGTGTTCTCTCTATACATAATCTGATTCCTCTTATAATCCTATGATGATCGAGCGAAAAGGTTGATAAACCCATGTTTACCTACCATTTGCACACACACGGGGTTTAGGGTAGATCAGGGGCAGGGGATCGCGTTCAAACAATGTGTACAATATTCACTCTTTTTCCTCTCATTTGCTTTCCTATCTCCTCCGCACATTGTCTCGTGAATTTGATCGATGTGTTTCTGGGACTTCCACTCACGTATCGAAATAGGACTGCAAATTGTGCAACTCAAATAGGAAGATTGCTGCACCGTTTGCACTTTCGTCAAACAAAAACAAAGCGATACAAGAAAATTCTATTTCTAATCCTCTCATTGTCTCCCTCTACATTTTGTTTGGGAGGCCAGTTACTCGCAAGCCACGCGCATTGATTTGACCTGATTCAACAGCCTGTGCACAACCCTTACAAGCGTCACGTGATCATCGATCGACCGCACCACTTTGGTTCTGGAGAAACATGCGAATGGTATGGGGTCCAGTCGTTCACCACTTATCGACTAAGTACCACTACTACTGAACGCATCGATTTTCCAAGGATACCTGCAAGGCTAAAAATTAAAATAATACAAGCGCTGTTTTGATAGATTGCGTTACATTGTTCTCATACTCATTCGCGCTCTGTAACGTTCTTCGTTTCTGTTCGGTTTGCGGAATAGCCGGGAACTTACAAGGTACAGTGAACAAATCCAGTGCACAATGTTTACAATTCTTAGCGCGGAAAGGATGACCATGAGGAATGACGTTCACAATGCGAATGCTTCGCTTTGGAAACATAAGAAATCAAATTATTCCATCTAGTCAAATCTGTTTACGGAGAATAAACAACTTGTGGGGTCAGTGACCGTTACCAGCTCACTGCGGTTCATTGATATGTCGTCGTTTCATAATGAATAAGAGAAAGATTGATCGATTTTCATGCATAAAATAGTACACACGTATAGCTTTGCAGATCTCGAGCGATGCAGTTTTGAAGTACAAGTCAAGCCATAACCGCGGTTGCGTTATGCATCCGAATTATCAAATCGCCATTTCATAGATTTGTGTGCGTGGACAATGGAATCTGGCAGACAAAATCGGTTTCTTCCAATGCAACAAGCAACCTCTGAAGAATCATGGGAAAAATCAAAGTTGGAACTTTGAGCGTGTAGGTTATGTAGCAATGGCTTGCAAAAGTTCTTGCATGATAGATTATGAAAGCCTCAGAGTATTTTAGAAATGCAATTTTTTACAGAAATTTTGATATTTTCAATTTCTGAATGCGCGAGTGTGTTTCCGTTCATGCCACTGTATTGAAAGGTGTGCTTCAAGAATCTATTGTTATTATTATTATTATTACTAATTTTTTAACATATCCTAGGAATATTGCTGAAAGCGAGACAATCAAGATAGGCTGTACGCATGCGTTCACCGATTGAACCATCACCTTGTGGATCATACAAATTACTACTAATCGGAGGACAAAATATGATAGTTTTATAATTCCACGGAATGTTTCCTGAAGTGTAAAAAATAGGTTATGTTTTTTGATGGTACAAAATGCAGATATATCACAAAAGTTGTTGTTGCTATGGCTTCATGGTTAGCGGAATCAAGGTGAATGAAACGTTGTTCCAAGGGTTCTATGTAAGGTCAATCGAACAAAATCATTGAAGCACATCCCGATATTTGAAGGTATTCAGTCAATGTTAAGGGAACCGGAACTAGTTCAAACCAATTTACTTTTAATTACTAAAGCCTTAATACAGTTCGATAATTCAACTGTGAAATATAAAGTTGTTCGTCTATTTGCACTGATACAGGTGGAAGAATTGCGCAATCGGCATGTATGAAATAATGATCAAGGATAAAATTGTGAACATACGAATAAATGCCAATTTTGATAAGCAGGTTGAGTCTACCGCGTTTTTCGAGTCAGACTGTTATGCACTTTCTGTTTATAGCTGAACTTGTCAAGTGGACCAGGGCGAGGAAGGTCACAAAGTATGGAGCGTGAAGAGCGATTGCCAATTTGAGTTGTCATGTTCGGTTTGTTCAGTGACAACCCACAGCCTCTCAAGCATTGACACGCTACCTTTCAAGGACCCAAACGAGATGAAAATTGTCTTAGTCATTTTCCAATTGTTGGACAGTCGCTTGGGAGTTTAGATGGTGGGCGGATTAGATTGGTTATTCAGTATAACGGATGATAGTTTATTCTAACCAGATAATACCGATGTACTGGGTGCCCAGTAAACTCGCCCCGGAATATCAAAACGAAATCCATTCAAACACGTGGGGTTTACACTCACTGAAGGTAGTTATGAGAAGTGTGGTTACCGATAAGCAATCGACGATTCGCTGAGTTGCTTAGTTTCTTGGTGAACTCAACAAGACCAGCAAATAATCAATCGATTGGTTCGACCATGTTAAGACTTACCTTACATACTGTCCACGAAGCTAATAGTTATCTATTCCAGACGCCAATTGCTATAAAAATGACCGACTAATCTGGGAGTGTTTCTGATTTCAATGTGTTATTATATGGTAAATCATAAATTTACACCACAAGTGAACAAATTCTTTGGGTGGATATAATCCCAATAAAATCAGTGATTGGGATCAATGTAACGATATCGTAATAGTCAGTGTCTGGAAGTAAAAGCTTGAACAGTCTGGCAATTATTTGCTCTCATATGATCAGAGTAGAATATGAAGATTCTAAGGGTTCGTACTTTTCAGCAAAACTGGTTTAGTTGAACCAGGAAATGTTAGATACAAGGTCAGCTCAATGCTGATGCAGTGATGGGAGATGTGTAATTTTGTCACTACGAAGTTTGATGGCTTACGAGATCGTTTTGCGGTTGCCTCCTGAGGAAAAATATTTCACAAGACCATTTAAAACTGTGGATTACTTCCTCCCAATCTGCCGAGTTGCGGGCTGGGTCCAGACAGGAATGCTGAACCTGACCGACACAGCTGGCTCCCGGTAATGAGCGGTCAGCTCTCATCCCTCGAGATTGTGCACTCTAGCAATTTGGTGCGTTTAAATCAATAAAGTAAACGGAGTGAAAACCAACACGATGTAGAACGTTTATTTCAGTTTATATTGATGCAAATAAAGAAGTTCCCAGGTGAAATGGTGAATTTAACCGTTCGCTGGTTAGAGGAATGATTTATTTACTACATATAAATCGATCAACTGTTTGACGCGCTTGAGTGCCCCCCCCCCTCGTGGTATTGACATGTTGAGTCAACGGATTGGTCATAAAATCCTCAC